CGATACCGGATGTTCAGCAAAGCTTTTCGAAAAATTTATGGTGTGGTCATAATTTCGAGTATGGAACTTCAGGGCGGAAAACAAGTCCGCAGATGATTCTGAACTTGATTATTATATACCTAAAATCGAATGAACCAGAGGAGAACAGTTCCCCCAGTATCAATTTTCTGCTTTATGGCGATGAACTAAAAGTAACCGGAGCGTCGAACAGCACAGTCTGAATAATCTATAAATAGCCAAGCTAAACGTAGTTTCATTTAATTACATCGATCCAGAGTAATAGTAATGTTGTCGATAGGCCAGATCAGGTGCTACGTAAGGGCAGCCCATTTTTAACATGCAGATATCGTGTTGAAAAAAATTATGTTATGGATTAATTCAAAAACCGTTGGGTTTGCGTGGATGGTGTCAATACAATACAATACAAACATTAATAAAGGGAAATAAAGTTAGATGGATGATATGGAATAATGATTATGTAGCCCCAGAAACTCAGGATTGTCAATTCATAGCACTCATACACTTTACAACTAGGATAGATTTTTCTTTTTAAAATCTGTTTTTTGTTCAGGCCACATCAGTCTAGATGCCGGTATGTGGAAAGTTTGAACTATTAGAAATAAAAATCGCCCAATTCAAGAAAAATTCCCCTCCGAGAAGCAGTTATGGGGGGGTTATGATTGATATTTCAACAATTTCATCCATTTTGACTGAGGTCTCTGAAATAATAGAAGATAAAATCGCACCATTTAGCGTGCAACAGCTGCACTGTAATAGGTAACTGTACTGATTTGTCTTGGCAAGCTGCCTAACTAATGTTGAATTTTAATGCATAACGTTTGACCTTTATGGATGTACATCGTTTATGACGAACCTCCATTAAAAATATAAGCGAAACTGTGTCTTTACAATGCATTCTGGAAACGAAATGTAGTGTACGACGGATAGGTTTAACGTTTTGGTGTACTTTTTAACTTGATTCCTACATAAACGCCAACGCCTTAACAGGAATTATTTTATTCAAATCTGAATGTTAACTGTGCCGCTATTCGACTTGATTAAATGGGCTTTAATTTAGGTAAAATGTGGAATAGTTTCCTTGTGTTGTATTGTCTTCGCATTCTGCTATTAGTGGCATTGTGCTGGAATTATGTTGTTCCCAAGATTTATTGTGGAAAAGCTCTCAAGTAAAAACTGGAGAATTGCTTTGCTATTGCCGTTGCTACAGTTACCAGATATTGATAAAATCACAATCGAAAACATGATCATTTATCATGCCTAAAAAAACTTTCTTGAGTTGAAGTGTTAATAAATTTAGCGTAACGTTCTCATTTGCTTGAAAGATGGCATTATCTCTTTTTTTATTATAACTTTATAAATCGGGATAGTTACGCTTGAAAAGAAATAACTCTTTTGCAAATATTACGTAATTAAGTGAACAAGGATTATATATTGTTATACAGGGAGTCTCAACTAAAATCTGAACCTCTGATTTCCGGAAAGTCATCAAAAAGGTACGAAGTTTACAAATACTACTATTACCTCACTTCAATTCTTCATACGTCACGCTCTATTTTTTTTATTTTGGTAGCATGTGAATCTTGAAATAGTGGGAATATTACATATGAAAATGTATTCATTGGAAATGGTTAACTAGCCATCTCGCAAAACAGTTTTTAAATATTTTACACTGCTTAATTTTTCGTACCTAATTTTGTTGATTCTATTACCATGGTTGCTACCTACGCGACCCTGAGAAACTTTTTTTCTCTCATAATAAAATATTCATAAAAGACGATTTCGGATCAGGTCCTTTATAGTTTAGGGACTCATCCCATTAGAACCTCGCTCCCTACGGTCGCTCGGATTTAAAATAGGCATCGTAATTTTTTTTTTTTTTTTTTTTCTTCAGGAGGGGAAATGCAATGACGCACTAAGTGTGGGGCTCCCCCAGATACCGGGTATACCCACTAAAACCCCTCCTGAGGCATCGACTACTATGGTCATTTGCCTTATTAAATATATATATATATATATTTAGACTTAGATTTTAGATATTAGTCCAGTATTTCTAAGATATATTATAACTGCTCCACATCGATCTTTATTTGTCAAAGTTTCTATTATTTCTTCACTGAGGTTACACCGTACTCTTTCTACATTATATTTGGGACACACACAAAAAACATGATCTACAGTTAGGTTGACTAAACATTGTTCGCATTGGGGAGGATCTTGACTCATCAAAAGAAATGAATGCGTGAGGGAAGTATGTCCCAATCTGACCCGATATATCTTTTCAAGATTGTATCTTCCCTTAATTGGTAAGAATATCGGACCCACAACCTCCTTGAACTTCCTTAGGAACGCTTCCGATTCACTCCACTGCCCGTTCCACATTTCCCATATTCGATCTTTAACTAGGGACCGACGGGCGTCCTTGGATAGTTCAGACATGTCTTCGGCTATCAGGTTCAATTCGGTCATAATTTCTTTGGCTCTCACAGTCAACGATCGACACCTAATTAAACGCGCACCTTCTATTACATCTACCATTCCGTGATAGTTCGGGTGATTCCTATCCAGCGAGACTTTTATGTAATAATTTGCTGCTATTTGCTTTCTTCTAAGAGCAAGAGGGGGAATATTAGCCTCGACATGGAGAGATACGACTGGAGATGTTGGAAAGGCGCCAAGTGAATACCTTATTGCCAGGTTTTGAATTTTGTCTAGTCGTCCTAACAATACATTACTACAGGTAGAATAGACATGAGATCCGTAGTCTATACGCGATAAGATCAAGGCTTTATATAGGTCCAGCATGGTTTTAGGGTGGGCTCCCCATTTATGATGAGCCAGCACCCTTAGGATGTTTAGTGATTTCCTGCAAGATACTACTAAATTGTCTACATGTTTCGTCCATCTGAGCTCGCTATCATACGTTAAACCTAAGAATCTTATATCATTAACAACATTAATGCCCCGATCGTTCATAAATAGAACTGGGCCGTAATGTGGTCTTCGGAGTCGACAGAAGTGTACACATTTTGTCTTCTCCTCCGACAGTACAAATCCTACAGCGTTAGCATTTTTTGTAATTTTGTTTATTGCCACTTGCAATTTACGTGTTATATCACCCACCGTTTTACCTGCACAGCATATCATTAAGTCGTCGACATATAAACATTTCTCCACTTCCTCCGCGACATTTATAGCAATTTCATTAATGGCAATACCAAACAGGGAGCAGCTAAGTGTTGATCCCTGCGGTACCCCATTTTCTAAGACATGCTCGTTCGAGTAAGTGTCACCGACTCTGACCACAAATTTCCTGTCTTCTATAAACGATTGTATAAATTTTGACAGATTCCCGCGTAAGTTATATTTAAACATGTTTTTTAATATTCCGTGCCTCCAGGTCATATCATATGCACCTTTTATGTCAAAAAAGACACCGACCAAATGTTCGCCATGATCGAACGCCCTCAGGATTTGGTTGCTTAACCTGACCAGGTGGTCAATCGTCGATCGCCTCTTTCGGAAGCCGGTTTGATATGGTACGTATATATTGTTGTTTTCAAGATACGTTTGTAACCTCTTATTGACCATTTTTTCTAATAGTTTGCCTAAGCACGAGGTCAAACTTATTGGGCGATAGTGCTGTGCCAGCAGCGGATCTTTTCCCGGCTTTGGAATAGGAACTACGATGGCCTGCTTCCATTCTGAGGGGTAAGTAGAATGGTTCCAGCAGTTGTTGAAGAATTTTAAAATAGATTCTTTCATTTCAGGACTACTGTGGCGAAGCATTTGGTTATGGATGCCATCCTGTCCCGGTGCACACGATTTGGTGGTACGAATTGCAGTGTCTAGTTCTTCTATGGAAACGGTTGGTTATAATCTAAATTATCGTCGGTATTAAAATTTAAAGGTGCGGATTCTTTTACAGGTTTGGTCTCTAGAAAGATAGGACGATAATTTAGAGAACTACTAACTTTGTAGAATTGATCTGCAATGATGTTTGTTATATCCTGCAGGTTGCTTGTAATTATCCCGTCATTATTGCGTAAAAACGCGGGGTAATTGCGACCGATTTTTCCGGATATTGCTCCCACCTTCTTCCAGACTTCGTTACTGGTTGTCTCCGGTGTCATAGTGGATACATATTTTTGCCACGAATTTCTTTGTGCCTCCAGTATTCCTCGGCGACACTTGGATCTTCGTTTTTTGAAGTTTATTAGATTATCCAATGTAGGATTCCGACGGAATCTATTTAAGGCATTTTTCTTTAGTGTTATTTTAGTTTTTATTTCAGGTGACCACCATGGGACCATTTTTCTGATACGGCCGGGTTTTGATTTAGGGATACTTCCTTCGGCGGCTTCTAAAATCGAACTGGTTAGAGATTGAAGGTTTAAGGCACTCTGATTTGGAGGGACGAGTTGTAGCCTAAAACGTTTCCAATCAGCTTGTTCAATTTTAAATTTTGCTATCGTTCTCAACGGGCGATTATCGCCTTGGATTGTGATAATTATGGGAAAGTGGTCACTGTGATACAGATCATTTTCCACCTCCCATTTTATGCTGGTATGCAAGGTCGGTGAGCATACCGACACATCGATGGAGTCAAAATTTCCCGATCGGATATTAAAAAACGTTGCCGAATCGTCGTTTAAAAGGCTTAGGTTTTTATTTTCAATTAAATTTAATAGTTCTTTGCCTCGAGCGTCGTTTGAACCGGAACCCCAAACGGCGTTATGAGAATTGAAATCTCCGACAAGGATAAAAGGTGTCGTAAGCTGATTTATAATTTTTTCGATTTCCTCAACCTCGTAATTTGTATTTGGAACGTATATATTGCAAATCGTAAAAGATCTGCTTATTTCGAGTTGTATTGCTACGGCTTGATACTCTGTATCTAGTTCGACTCGTTTGTAAGGAGTACCTTTTCGTAAAAGAAGAGCCACTCCCCCACAGGCTCTTGCAGGTGAGTAGAAATCCTTTCTTATGATGTTGAAATTTTTTATGTTATATTTTGTTCTAGGTTTTAGATGTGTTTCTTGCAGGGCAACACATAATGGCGTATGTCTTTGAATCAATAGTTTCAACTCGTTTAAGTTATTGGATAGTCCCCGACAATTCCATTGGATAATTTTGGTATCCATTACAAAGATAAGATTAAAAGAAACAACAATGGAATAAATAATATTAATAAATAACAGATCATAGTGTATAAGGGACGACTACAAACAAATAACAATTAATTTAAGACAGATACAAGAGACAGATATATCACAGATTTGGTAATTCAATACAGATTGTAGGTAGATTATCACAGTAAATATATCACGTATGGGTATCAACACTAGAGAGAGATTTTCCTAGGTTTGCCCTTTGGCCATCCTTTTTTCTTCTTTTGTTGAAGAATTTGTTTTCTCTCTATATCTAAGGCTTCTTCATCTAATATTGGCGAAGATGGGGTTGAACTATCCTCATCTCGCTTCCTCTTATCAACAGGATCCGCGATTGTCACATGACAGTCCTGGGTAAGGTTTTCAATCCTCCCAGGTTTCGATCGGCTAATTGTTGTTTCTCCTTCAGAACTTCCATGAGGTAATTCTATCGGAGACGGAGATACGGTTGGTTTCGGCATTGATTGTTTAACATACTCAACTAAGGTGGAGGTAAGTTCTTTAATTTCGTCTTTAACAATTTTTCTGATTTCAGATACCAGGTTGGGTTGAGTATCAGTGGTTAGGCGTGTAGCAACATTTGAGTACGAGTTGTTTGAAGTAACAGCCGATCCAAGCATTCGTTTTGCCTCCAGATAAGACACCTTACGGGTAACCTTTATCTCTTGAATTTGTAACTCTCTTTTATACACTTCGCAAGTTCTAGAGTTTGCAGGATGTGTACCGTTGCAATTTAGGCATACGACTGGATCGTCACATGGAGAACCCGGGTGTAAGGATTTTCCACAGACACATACTTGTTCCTTCTCACATTTTAGTGTTGTGTGTCCGAAACGTTGACACTTGTAACATCTCATTGGTTGTGGAACATATGGTCTCACTTTCAACGTATATTAATCACCCTGGGAAGTTGGGTGGCATTGAAGGTAAGTATAAGGTTGGGAGTATCAATGAAGGTACCTCCAACTTTGGTCCTAATTCTCTTCACCGCTACAACGTTTTCTCCACCCAGTTCTTCCAATATTTCTTCTTCACTACAGTTCATTAGATCCCGGCAGTATATAACTCCTTTACTTAAGTTTAGCGTATCATGAGGTTTCACTTGAACTTCAAAATTACACATCCTTTTAACTTCCAGTAATCGTTTTGATTGTTTATTCGATACCGTTTTTATAAATAATAAACCCTTAACTTTCTTAATTTCTTCCACTTTCCCAATTAAGCCAAACGAGGCCTTATGAATCATAAAAGGACTAATTTTGGAGAAATCTCCTTCCTTTTTCTCAACAAGCAAGAACCGGGGATAGTTATCCTCCTTTTCATTACCTGTTACAGGGAGCGGGGGAAAAAAACCCCCCTCTCCATCCATGCCAGAAGCTTGTACTTGCGTTGGGGCCTGGTCATCCACCCACAACGCCGAGCAGCCGCTTGATAACGGTCGGGTGAGGCCTGCCCGCTCCGCCTCGCTCCCGACTGGCACTGGGGACCGTCCGAACCCCTGCACCGTAAGGTTTGTATTAGAAAAGCCTGAATTCATTAGCAAAGTCGTCTTAAAGCGTTTTTATGCTACCGCCAGCATTAATCAATACAGGGAAAAAGGGATAATTTGGAGTGGTATAGATAAATGGGTAGGTAAGTTACTAAAGGCGGTTGGACTCGACGCCTTTAGTGCCCATTGATCGCCTTTTACGATCTCCAGGACGGGAGTGGGTCAATTCTACCCCCGAGCCCACAGGGGGAGGCATCGTAATTTAAAGTACATGTGTTTTATTCGTATTTACCTCACTAAATAATAACATATTTGTGAGTAAATTTGACAAAACATAAAAATTAATATTTAAAGTACATGTGTTTTATTCGTATTTACCTCACTAAATAATAACATATTTGTGAGTAAATTTGACAAAACATAAAAATTAATAATTTTATTATTATTTTAGTTGCTAAACAACCCCTACTAACCTTACATTATTCCCTTTCTAATGAACATGATACATAATTTAATTAAATTAAAGTCTTTCTGGGAACTATACCCTTCAGATTCGGTTTTTCAGATGGTTTAGAGGTTGGACTTTCTTGGTTTATTGATTGCTGCTGAAGGATGATTCCTAAAATACTGTTTTCCTTGATCGTGTAACGTTCCGTTGAATGTACTCTTGGTTTGTGTAATTGACTAAATGCACTCTTAATGTGTTAGGAGTAGTGGGTACAATTGGGATTGAGAAAATATCACTTTTGCTTTTCCACTCCAGAGTCATCACGCTAAACTTCTTTACCTTAATTATCGAAGCGTCTTTACGCAAATGGGGAGTGGCTTTATCCTCTTTAGGTTATGACATGTTTTAATTTAATTACATATCTTTCTTTTACCTATTGTAGGATGCGACCTTATTATAGTAAGGATTTTGTATGATTTTTGCTCATAGCATGATTGTTAATTTGATGTCTTCGTGAATTTTCGGAATTGCACGCTTCGAGACCTTTTTGTGGAAGTAGCGATTTTGTAATCTGGTTGGCACTTGAAAGTTGTTGCGTAATGTGAAATCGGTTAGAATTGTTAGAAGTCGGGACATCCATTTGGTTGATTTGCGGAAAACAGATTGGGGATTGTTCGGATGTCGTTTACGGGAGTTTGACCTTTTTCGACATCTTTCGATGTAATGGGAAACACGCGGTAAAATATTGGTAATCGGAGATTGCAACAAATCGTGTTTAGCTAATTCAATTTGAGTCATCCGCTTCTGCCGGGGGGTACCGATTATTCTGAATTCTTTCATTTGAATCGTATGAGATTCAAATATTTTTTTGTTTAATTTATCAGACGATATTTTTAGTGCTTTCACTTTCAAAAAATAAAGTCACAAAGGCTCCGGAACTACACCACTTACAGACTTAATATTGGTGTCATTCGATCAGAAATAAAAAATTATTTCAAATGTCCATAAGGGCTATTAAAATCGAAAAAACATAAGCCCCAATATACCTACGCCGAATAAAAAAATTCGCATTAAACCCGATTACCTAATACTCTACTATGATGTGAAATACAATGTTTGCATCGTATTTTTTTGTTGAACTATAATAATTATCTAAACTTGAGTTTAATTGAATCTCAGCACATGTGATGTAGAATTTCAATAGACGCAATTTTCTGAAGTGAAACAACTCCATGAACATCTAAAGACACATGGAGTTCTCTAGTATATATTCAAATATCCACACTGCTTTAGAACCTAACCCTAGCCGGTTCCCTCACCTAAAAGAGCAGGTTAGGTACAATCCATGGAGTTGATTTCAGAGGTGTTTTTGCCTATAAAAATGGAAAAATATATGATTTTTTCGTTGTCTTTTCAACTCATGTGAAGTAAAAGTCATAAATTATCATTTTTAATGTTTGTCCAGTTTTCCAAATTTTAACCATTTTGCTAAATTTTTTTCACCAATTAGTTGCCTCATATCATTGAGTAATTACCTTCACTCAACGATCATATTATCCCCGATTTGAAGAATGATCCATGTATTATGAGTCACTATGTGAACCCGGTAGCTGGCGCATTTTATCATATCTGAACAAAAAATGTTGACATACATATATTAGCTTACAATTATTAACGATAATAAACGCCGAAGTTTAAAAGTTCATTAATTATATTGTTATTGTTCCACTAATTTTGTTCATTTTGGTCGAGATATGCTATAGCTGTTGCTAAAAAAATCTATTGACGCACAATATTTCAAAGAGTTCTCACATTGGGGTCATTACTACACTTTAATGACTTTGGAGATGTGTATATTTTTCAAAATTATAAACTCCATCGATTACATTGGGGTGAGTCAAAGAAGATTAATTGCGTCGTTTAGAAAATTCTCTACGCATGTCAATCATATTTCACGCGATAGAAATAAGCTATAAGTCAAAATGGGCGTCGACGACGGGTCGTTAATAACGTTAAGAGTATAGGCGCTAAAGCCCCCTTTACTTTTGATTACGCAATTAATCTAAAACATTTTTATAAATGTAGGTCGACTTAGAAATATGAATGAAGTTTTTATCAATACTCTAGAATGTTGGTTGTTCAGAAATATACCAGAAAGGCGTAATTGAAGTTAATTGCAACATAATTATCTTGATACAATACGAATCGATAACATTGCATACCATAACAAGCTGTGATATATTAATTTTCATTCCCGCTTTCCAATTACAATGGGAAGCGCGAGCGAATAATAAATAATGTATATTTTTTCTTGAAATTTAACAGGTTTTGGAGTAGGAGGGCACGCATCACAAAAGAAAAGTTTCAAACAGTAACGAAGCGTACACATTTAAATATTTTACAAAAATAAATTCATCTTCTGGTTTACTGAAGGGATCAAAATATAGTAAGAAGTTCAAAGCTAAGTAAAAATCAGTTTAAGAAAATTCTGTATATAACTAACGAGTATCTCTTTATACTTCATTTGGTCCGATGAGCTTCGTTACGTTCTTCTAATCGGACTTTTGGAAAATTATTGAAGCTCTATAGCCGATGCGCAATTTCGTTAAATTAAACTCTCAGTTTGCAGTATTAAGTACTGTACTATTTTTGTTTGTTTCCAACGAGGGTATTGATTTATAAATGGTTGACTCGCTTTCGCCAGTAGAAAATTCCTTTTAATTCCCGTATTAAAATACTTAAAGATTTCATGCGCTTACTTACACTATGTGCTGGCATTCTGGGATTAAACCCTGCACAGTCAAGTTGACAAAAAGTATCTGTATTTTGCTATTATTTATTACCTCGTTTTGTGCGCTTTAAGAAGACTTATATAAAGCTTTCTTGTAAGATTTAGTTGCATATACTTAAAGCCGTCGTAAGAGAAAAGCCAATTTACCTTCTTTAACTTGACTCGTACAGATACGAGTACGAGATCCAATCAATAGATAGGTAGACCAGCACATAAATCTCGCGTATATTAGCTTTAAACTGCATCTAAACCATTCCGAAGCAGAAGCCATACGCTAAAATGAGTGGTTTTATAAAATAGGGTTACCTGAACGCTATAATGCCGTCCAGGATCCCCGAAGGATGACGGGAGCATCCTTTTCAACTTATTTTTCTAGTAGCAAGACGATGAAACGGCTAGAGTTCAATTTAATCTGAAGTTCAAACCAATTACGTCATAGTGGCAAAATCCCCTTTATATACGACAAAAGGTTTACGAAATCTGTCAATTTCCGAAGTAGGTCTATACTTCAATGAAATTAATCTTTCAACCGCTGCCGCCGCCGCCTTTAAAACAATTTCGTATGTTTACCGCTAGATGTATTTTATTTTTAAAGTAAATAGTAAACAAAGTAAATATGAAGGATGTTTATACACTGGGAGTTCTATATAAACTTTGAAATTAAAACTTTAAATTAGCTGTCAATTAATTTTAGAATCGCTCGCTCTTTGAAGATGGCAAATTCGGAATTTTATTTAGATTTTAACACATTGGAACGGTAAACAAAAAGGCTATTTCTGGAAATATTCAAAGTCACAAGAAAGCACGACGAATGGCTCAAATAATACATTCAATTGGAGAACTAACGACTATTAGTACCAGAAAAATGAAATTTCAAAGACAAACCTATTAATAAGCGGCATTATTTGGAAATAATCAGTTAGCAAAATCAAAACAATCGACCTAACGATCCCAAAAATACACACTCATTTCTGAAAAAAGGGTGTAAGTAAGGCTATCGAGGGGAATGAAAATGGGAAAAAGACAGATTCCACTAATTTATGTCTCCTCGTTAGGGATCGTGCCAAAAATTGGAAAACGTATGTAGTCTTCTTACTTGCTATCCACGTATCTCGGTTTTGCTTATCCTAGATTCCCAGAATACACACAAGAAAAGCCCGAAAAGGGAGACAAAAACATAGGAAAGTAAATCCACTTTAAGGTCGAAACAA